CACCAGCACACGTGCACAAGTCTATCAATACTTCCTATCCTAAGGGCAACAAAATCCACCTAAGTCACTCCTCACCATCCACGATACCTAAAGAACACCTAAAGTCTTTCACGGCACAGTTACTGTATGCCAGAGACCTCTGCCCAGTCCTAAGGAACAAAAAAAAAATCCTGTTTGCTTTTGAACAGGACACTTGTGATCATAACACAGAAAGTACTAGATGATAAAAGGAGAAAGGAAAAAGGATAACTACGTCACTGGAAAATGAAGTAATTCACCAACAGGGATGACTGCTTTGACAGGGTGTTCTACCCAGTGATCAGTTCTGTTCAGTAACGTATGTTTTCTCAGTGTTCAAAACTGTTGTCTTTCATGTAGTCAGAGCACTAACTGCAGCAGCCACATGCACTCAGGAGAGCATATCCTACTTCCCAGCCACAAGTCTGTGAGAAAAAAAGGCCATGTATGATCTTGTCACAATACTCAGTGAGAAGCGTCAAGCTTTTGGCAGCTTACCTGTTTCTGCTTTGAAGACCTGATAAATTCTGTAAAATCAACTTAACTGTGGAAAGAAAATGAAACATAATTAATGGCTAATATCTGTACTTCGCTTTACATACTGTGCTACACTGCTGCAGCTCATCCATAGTAGTGGCTAGTATTAAAGCCAAGCATGTAATGAACCCACAATCTGGGATACTACGAAGAACTCCTTCCATGTTCCAAGATGCTATGCACTGCATCTTTGTGTTTCCATTTTAGAAGCAAAAGAAATTAAAAATTTAAGTTGACTTCTGGAAATGGTGAAAACACGATGAGATTACTTGGTCATCAATTGTGTGTGCAACACTGAACTGTTGAAATGAAACAGACTGACAGTATATCGAGGGAAAAACTCTCAATTCTTTTGAGTCCTTGAAAGATGCGTAAGTCCATCTCAAGGTTACAGGATATGTCCATTCTTCTGAAATCCACCTGCTTTCAAAGTTCACAAGAATATGCTACTCACCACTCCAGAACTGCGCTTAATGTACACAGTGAAGACGATCAAATGAAAGAGCAAAAATATCCAACACGGAGAAACTTCAGGGAGTACTTCATTTTACAAAGCAAACTTCAGTGTTTTCCCTGTATGTTTACTACCTTTCAAACATAAGAATCACTTTACTACACTGACTCAAACATACCCTGATTCTCAACAGCATCTAACATAACACTACACAGCACAGTCCTCTCAGAACAAACACAAGCTTCTGTAGCAAATTACTACATCCCTTTTAAAAAAAAAAAAAGCCCAACGCTCCAATAACAACTGTTTGAGAATATCCCTTGTACAAACCCCTTGCTCACTAACAAATGTAAAGCACTAGATCCTGATGCCAAGTTAACTATTGATAACAGTAACTATCACTCCACCTGAGCTTAGCAAAACAGGAGCACAGCCCAAATTCTGTAACTAATGGATTCTATGTCACTTCTACATCAGCGCTTTGTAAACACAACTGAAAACAACTGCCTATTTAGTAACTTCACTAAAGATCATCTGTTCTCTGTATTTTTGTGGTGGCTTGACCCTGGCCAGCAGCCAAGCCTCCACACAGCTGATCATTCACTCCTCATCCCCACCAGCGGGATGGGGAAGAACACATGAAGAACAAAGTCAAGAAAACTTGTGGGTCAAGATAAAGACAGCTTAATCACTGAAAAGTGAAACAAAGGAGATTGCTCACCATCTCCCACAGGCTGACTGATGTCCAGCCTGCCTCAGACTAACAACCACCTTGAAAGCTAATAAAAAAACACCCCAAAAAAAACGGAACTATCAAACAAAAGCCTTCTTCCTCTACCTCAGTTTTTGTTGCTGAGCATGGTGTTACACGGCATGGAATATCCCTCTGGTCAGTCTGGGTCAGCTGTCCCGGCTGTGTCTCCTCCCAGCTTCTTGCCTACTCCCAGCATACACACTGGGGTGGCAGAGTGGGGAAAAAAGAGAAAGCCTTGACACTGTGCAAGCGCTGTTCAGCCATAGCCAAAACACTGATGTGTTGTCAATACTTTTAGCCATAAATCCAAAACACAGAACCACACCGGCTGCTATGAAGAAGGTTAACTCCATCCCAGCCAGACCCAGTACACTTTATCTTCCCAACAGATGTGATGGCAATGCCAAAAAGCAAGGAGAATTCAAAGCAGAATTTTCTTATAGGAACTTCATGGCTTGTAAAATCAAATCCGCTGCCCTGCTACTTCATGATGTATTTAATCTGTAGTATTTCTGAATTTCACAACTCTGCATTCTTATCCCAACTTTTAAACAGCATTCAGAACAGATCTCCTCAGTACTTCTTCGGTGATAAACGGCAAGTTCTCCACGATGTACCATGGATACAACATACAACCTTCAGTGATGAAAACTAGACACAGTGATTCCAAATCAGAAGGTGATATTTAAGAAGTCCACAAACAGAAATGCAAGTTCAAATAATAAGCTTTTACTGACTGCATATTAAACAATCAAGCATTGGCAAAAAGTGTAGACAAGCCATCCAACAATTTGAAGTGAATGACCAAAAAGAGTGACTTTTGGGATGAAAGTGCCACACAAAACTAAGACCAATTAATTGAGCAAGGCCTTCAGAGAGCAAGGGTTTTGACAATAAAAATTGAAAACTTCATGCCACCAATTTAAAAGCACAGAAATGTGCACACCGTTTTAAGAAATTTTGTGATTGAACTAAGTAGAAAACAGTACTATATCTATACCTGCAGTCTCAGCAAATTCCAACCATCATTAAAACTTCACTATAAAAAAAAAAATGTAAATATTGTTGAAAACTAAGCTTGCGCTAGACTAATGTTTTTACTACAACGTTGAGATGTTACATAGTCTGCGTGCAGTGAGTATGCAAGCTAGAAAGAACATCCACAGAAATACTCTAACGATAACCTAGACAAGAATGAGAATAACTGATGGATCAAGGGACGATTTCCTATTCTATTCTTCTTCAAAATAAGCCTCAGCAGTCGAAGCAAGCTGTTGCTAATGTCAGTTTTGGCACCGCTAAAGGAAGATGCGAGAGGGCTCTGCAGCCGGGCCCGCGGCACGGCCGGCTGGAGCGCGGGGCCGCCTCCGAGCACCGCGCCGGGCACGGGCGGCGCAGCACGGGGACCGGGGGGGGGGGGGGGGGGGTGTCTGGGGAAAGCCACCCCGCGCCACACGCGCTCCGGCCCGCCACAGGCCCCTTGTGATGCGACCCCCCGGAGAAGCCACGGCACCGGGCTGAAGGGAGGCACCGGGGAGGGGGCGGAGGAGTGATAGGCAGCCAGGCAGTATAAGAAGACCGCGGCCCGGGGAACGGCCGCGCAGCGGTTCCGCGAGGGTTGGGCTGCCGAGAACCGGCTCAGGGCGCGAACCCCGCGCCCCTCGGTTACACGCAGCGCTTCAGGAAAACGGGCGCTCGCCCTCACGCCAGCCACCCACCGGACACACCACCAGGACAAGCTCCACGCCGAACCCCACTCCCCGCCGCTCCGGGTACAGCACGGCCAAGATGGCGCCCTCCGACGTACCCACCCCCCCACCCCAACTCCGCTCCGCGGCGGGGCCGGACTGCGCCTGCGCGAGCCCCGCCCCTTCGCCCCCGCAGCGGAACCCGCACGAGTCCTTCCGGCCCCCAGCGCACCACCAAGCACCGCCTTCGTTACCCATGGCTGCGCATGCGCGCCCATTTGGCGCGTAGAGTTGGGGGGGGCTGCTCTGATAGTGGGGGGTGTGTGTGCTCGGCCCAGGGTGGGTCCCCATGGCAGCCAGCTATTCCAAACCGGGGTTCGCGGAGGGGACAGAGCCCCTTGGCTCACCGCTGCTTTGGCGCGTTAAACGCGCACTTCGGTCTCTCGGTGCCGTTTGTTCCAGTGACTGCGCAGCTGAGGGAGAGGGGGAGGGAGGGAGACAGGCAAGCTCGGTGGGGCGCAGCACTGGCTGGCGCCGGAGCCTGGGGGTGCCTCAGGCACCAAGTGGGAGGTTTGCACCCAGTGCTGCTCTTCCGGCGGCTACGGACGTGGTTTCTAACCCAACTCCGGGCTGTCTCAGGTCTTGGGGTTTGGGAGGAAAGGCAGGCAGGGACAGAGCCGGGGAAGAGGAGGGAAGGTGTAAGGCTGTGAACAGGGGCGAGCCAGGCTACTTAGGTTGTGCAGGCAGGATAGTTATTCTAGCGATTACCCCACCTGCCTCTCCCTGTCTCTTATGTATTCTCCCCTGTATTTAGGCTCGTTCTGTACCTCTCTGTGCTATTTTTTTTTTACAGCCATCTATTATTTATGGTAGATTCACCTAGTAACTCTGCCTTTAAAAACTTGTTAATTCCTCAGAGGAAATCTGATGAGGAATAAAGTGTTTGGTGCGATAAGCATATAAGCTTCCAAGCAACGCTAACACAGAGAATCACGATAATTGGGCAGTTAACACAGGGGAAAGGGACAGTGAAGAATAATTAAAATCTGGGACCTGAGGTGCCCTGCAAAATTTTGGTAACGTTTGTGGGGATGTGAACAAAGGGACGCTGGCGGGTGGAGAAGGTGATGGGCAGTACCTCTGGCTGTGCATCCGCGCCGCTCGGCATGCGGTGTGTTCGCCCTGCTACCAGTTTCCTCTCAGGGAGAAATAATACACACACACGTTACCTCTGTGTTATTATATACATTGCGTAAGTTCGAGAGATGAGGCACCGGAAAGCGCAAACCAGACCTCTCTTTGGGTTGTTTCTTCCCGCTGATCTCAACCAGCCCCATGTTCTGAAGGTAAACAGAATCCTCCTAACTCCACGGGCTGCCTCCCTGCTGCCCCACGGGCCTCTCCCAGCTTCCCTTTCCCTCCGTAGCCGATATCCCAAATCCTTCCCCCGGGGGCTCGTACCAGCCCCGCCCCCGAACGCTTTGCGTCCCGGGGCGGGCCCTTCGCGGTTGCCGTACGGGAGGCGGCCGGCCCCTGCGGGCGGGCCGCGGGTGGCCATGGCGACGCCGCCGCGGCGCCGGGGCCCGGCTGCGCTGCTGCTGCTGCTACTGGCGGCGGCGGCGGCCGCGCTGCCGCCCGCCCGCGGCTTCTCCCTCCCGCTGCGGCGGCCCGCCGACTGCGGCCGCGCCCACTACTTCGATATCTCCCGCCTGGCCTGCGGGCCCTGCGGAGCCCACCAGCGACAGGGCGCCGGCGGTGAGTGGGCCGGCCCCGCCGCGCTGCGGGGGGCGGGGGGGGGGAAAGGAGGGGCTGCCCGGCGGCCGGGGCTTGGAGCGGGTGGGGGGGGCTGAATTCCGCCCCCGCCAGGCAGCGGGGGATCCGAAACCTGAGCTCAGGTTCTGGGGGTGAAACAGCAGGCCTCGGGGGGAAGTCTGAAAAGACAGCGAAAACGGGCCAGGATTCCGCGAAGGCCTAAGTGGCCGCGGCACGAGTTTGATACCTGTGCCTGAGATGACATCGCGGAGGGTTGTGTCCAGACCTCGTTATTACCATCATTCTTTCCTCGGGCATTTGTGTGGTTGTAGGTGTTCGCATTTTCATCAGTAAAGTTCCATAGGGCCACGAATTCATGTTCTCGAATGCTTCGGTAACTTGAAACTACTTGTCAAAACTTGCATGTCTGAGGTGTTGAGTATCTGAGGTCGTCAGGCTGTGCGCACACTAATCCAAGACCCATGTGGGAACTTGAAGCATACACAACACACCTTGACAGTACTAAATGAAAAATACAGATGGTAGTTCGTTTTCTTTAGGAGATACGATGGTATGATAATGGCCATCTTTTATAAATACACAATCCAAGAGAAGTGAGGTTTCAGTGTTTTGTGTATAGAAACAAATTGAAGACTTAAGACCCAACAGCATCTCTCTTCAGAACCGGTACCTCAGTCAGATGCAGTGATCTGGATGGCTCTGCTCACAGCTGCTGCAGAAAATCTGGTCACCTCTTCCACTACCATCATGGTATCTTAAAAGAGTAATACTGTCATTTACTTGCAGAGAAAAGTGCACTGTAATAATTTTCAGACCCTCTCATAATGTGTCTAGATCCATAAGTACCATTTAGGTTTGAATCTTTTTCTAATTCAGGGGCTTCAAGGAGACATAAATTCCAGGGTGAGGTCAAGGATTTATTTTTTTCCACAGCATTTAGCTGGAGCAGTGTAGGTAGCTGCCACTCAGTCTGGTGTTTGCATCTTGTCTGAATTCCGCTTGCGATTGCACAAGTCTGCCTATGTACTCCCTGGCTGGCTCATCACTGTGGATTCTGCTTTCAGGCAACGTGCCTAAAAACTTAGGTGTCATCACAGTGAATGTCACAACTCAAGTTTCCTCATTGATCTAATCCTATTGGGCTTTTTCTTCTTTATAGTTAAATATGAATGGTTGATCATTTTGACAAATCTTGTTTCTGTAAAACTGGTCTCATGACGATATATTTTAAGGTTATAAAACTTTTCACATAATTTTACATGATTTTTACATACACAGATCAATAAGCTTATATAATAATAACTATGGTTTATTGGTACATAGAATCAATTTTGGTTTGTAGTATGTGTTTAAAATTGCAGAGAGGTCCATGATAGTGAGACTGAAAAAGTTTCTGAAAAAAAGGTTGTTGAGCACTATCAGATGTGCACTGTGATGTGCCATGAAAGTACTGCTTGCTTTAATTTAATACTAAGTGTTAACTATGTTATGGTATTCACTGAAAACTTTTCAATATAAAGCTTGATCCTCATGCACAATTTTAAAAGCTTTGAGTCTAAATAGCATTACAAATGACAGTTGTATTTTCAAAACCATTGGATATAAACATATTTTCGTTTTAGGGCTGACTTCAAAGGATAAAAGCTGTAGAAATATATAATGATAGTGTTGTAGAAGAAGATGGGCTAAGAATGACACTGTGTCAAGATTTAGAGAGATTATATCTGTTATTAGACCAACTGTTACAATTTAGTTTAAAAAAGACCACAAAAACACAAGCTCTGGTTCCTGGTCCATCCAGGTATATCAATCAGCCTAGTAAAATTTTCCTAAAACACCTTTGTACAAACTGTAACATGAACATTTTTTAAAAAGCAAGGTGATTTTCATGTACATTTCACTCAGGTGTTTTATCTGTCTAATGATCTATATTGATTTCTTGAGAACAATAGCAGTTGCTCTTAGTATTCTGTGAAAAAAAGTCAGTTTTATATAGATTAAAATTGCCTTTTTTTTTTTTTTCAGGTAGTTCATGTGTATGTCAGCCAGGATACAGGATGGTTTCTAGTAATGGTGGGTCCTCCATTATTTGTGAAAAATGTCCAGAAAATATGGTAGGTATTGAACTTTCCATACTTTAGCATAAAAATAATGCTTTTTAAATTTTAAATTTCCTCCTCACTGCAAGTTATTTTTCAGTAATTTAAAATTATTTTACATAATGTCTTTGCTTGGGAATTTTTAAGACCATGCTTATCGGTAGTAATTTTTTTTCTCTTTAGAAATGTTTATTACTATTGTTTTGCAGCCATTTTTTTCATTATAAATTTGACCCCACAAAGTAAGAGCATTTAAAATGTTTAATTTTCTTCCACTGCTTTTCTTTTCTGCTTCATGTTATGTTATCCTTGTCCAGAGACCACTGTTTTATAGAATGCCAAAGATGCTTTTCAGCTCATAGGTATCTTACTTGGTTATATAAATTCAATTATTGTAATACCTAGGCTGTATCTTTGTAGTCCCTGATACTTTATCTTTTTACTTCAAAATAAGTTGGTGCTATTATGTTACTTTAATTATAAGTGTCTTTGTAGTTTGATCAGTCCTTTCTACCTTTCTGGACAAATTAAGCTATAATTTTGGGTCATATTCACAGCATTGAGGCAAAGGCACCAGACTCAACCAGCTTTTTCCCATTATAGTAAATAGAGAAATAATTCTTCTGCAGCATAAATAACTTTTCAGGGTGAAAGCCTTCCTGAATACTTCTTTCTCTCCAATAACTGTAGAAAAACTCTCAAGAGACCGCTTAGTTGCATAAGCTAGGTGTTCAGTGACTAATGGGTGATGTAGGTTATTTCCATCTTGCTACGTTAGACAAAGACATTCACAAACATCCATTGGTGTTTCAATCATTCTCCTGTTTCTTTCTCTTTCCTGCAATGGTGGAATTTGTCTTTGATCCTATGGCAAGGCTTATGCAAAGAAAAAATGGTGATAGTGCAGAAGGGAATAACGTCAGTATCACTTGAGGATGAGCAGTTACCTTTATTTTCCTCATCGGTTTTGATCTGTAGTGCAGCTACTTCATAGTATCAGATAAGTGTGGATGTGAACTGTTTGTGTGCGTGCAAAATTCCATGAAGTTATATAAGCTGCTTCATTTAAAACTCCTCCTTTCTGTTATTTCTGTATATTTATATGCAAATATGTCTATGCATTGTTATGTTTATAGATTATTTTTTTCTAGTGTGGAATCTCTATATAACTCTTATCTTCACTAAAAGCTGTTAAGTAATGGGATCAGAAAAGCTTAAGGACACGATTTTTCGGTCTGTGCCTGCATAGATATTACTTTTTCCAGCTTGTTTAACCTTTTTTAATCATCTTTAAAAGCTTCATTAATGTTATCAATGTTGATGTTGTATCTGAAGACATTTTCTAGTTAATAACATCTGGATCAGCCATTCTTCACATATACTGGATGTTGTCTATATTTTTGAAAATTATAATAGTTTTACATTTTATTTTAGAGCGGAGTTACTCAAGATGGGTGGAATTGTATTATTTGCCCTAAAGGCCTAACTTCAGAAGGAAAATGTAAATGCCTTGATAATGAAATATTAGGTAAGAAATATGTGCGAGTTATGAATCATTAGTGCTTGTTTTAGATATTTGAGTTTGGTAAGACATGCTCTACTGTTAAATAAGAAAGGAAATTTAACATAAGTTTACATTTCTAATGTAAAAATTCAACATTCCTCTTGATCTTAAACCTCATTCCTGAAAGACAACAGATAAATCTGTACTGTTGTTCATTGCAATAAAAGCCATTATGCAAACATTGAAAAAATTAATACTGGTGTATCACTTCCTTTAAGCTGGTTGGCACTGAGTGGAGGCATTAAAATTGGAATAAAACAATGTCAGTGTAGACTAGAGAAAAAAACATTAAAATGTTTTGAAGTGTGTAATGTATTGGTACTTTGCAGTACAAAATTATACATATATGAGTAGTTGGAACAGAATAGCTTGAGCAAGCCAAGCAAACTACTGTGCATTATTCCCAGTGGTTTTCATACCTCCCTGAGACACACGCCTATACCTGAGATTTCCTGCAAGATACTTTCCTATATCTGTGCCTCTTACTTGCTGTTCTCTAATAGTTGCAGAATAATTTCAGTAGGCACAAAAAAATTAGTTTTGATGTTAGCTTTACTGTCTTGTGTCAGCTATAGTACTGCTCATCTTTCATAGTAAAAAATTAAGAGCAAAGTATAATTTTCAACAAGGGTGTAAAACAAAAAAACCTCTTGGGACCTCTAGTTTTCTTTCTTTTCAAAGACATAGGATGAAAAAGACTTCCCCTGTGCCTGTAATTCTTTGAATAAGAATTATTAATGTCCACTTTGGTTACGTTTCTAACAGAGTACACTGGAGAATCACTGTTTCCCAGATCATTAATTTAAATTTTTTCTAGGAAACTGTAAAGGAGTGAATACCAATCGTCTCCCTTAAACTTTATGGGAGTTACAAAATACATGGTGAGCTTCTACGGTAAAATATTGACAGCAAAATTTACCATGCAGAAGGACAATTAGTATTGTAATTCTTTTGATTCTTTTTGTATCTATCTCTTTTTTAATATATATATAATTAGACTTGAAATCTGTTGCAAAATTATTTAATTGCTGGAAGATGCAGTTTTGAAACTTTGAATTTGTGGCATTTGCATGAATAATTTCAGATGAAAATGAAAAATATTTTTTTCCGGTAATTTATAAACTTGATGTTTTGAGTTTTAGCTTTGCAGTGAAGCCTTGCTTTGAAATTTGGTTCAGAATAAATAACAAAGGAACAGCAAAACTGGACATGAAATATTACATTTCTCATTAAAACTAAACTGCATGTGTGTAGCTATAAACAATGCACATATATGAATGTTCATTTATAGTGGATGTTATTTGCAAGTTATGCTTTTTTTTTTTTTAATAAAATCTTTGCGTTTATTTTAGATCTGCATAGGCACTATTTTTTCACACTTTGCTTAGCCTGTGTGACATACTGTGTGTCACACAATTTTACCACAGTTGCTTTTCTTTTTCACTTAGTGGAAAGAACTATCGATGGCATTCTGCTTAATGAAGCGTTGTGCATACATTGTAATGGAAGTGAACAATCCTTCTCTGCTTCAGATGCATCAGGAAATAGGTGAGTATTTTGCCTTCTGTGATGATGAATTTGAAACTGTCATGTTCTGTTTAAATAGAATATCCTTGAGAAATATGTTTTGTGTTCACTGAAGTCCTTATATGACCTATAGCTTGGTTTGTTTCTTTGTTCTAGTCCGACTAAAAATCTGGCTTTGTATCAGAAGCAGAAACAGAATTGTTATTTTGATAATTAACTATTTCATTTCTACTTCACTGACAGAAACAAATCAGTAATGTCTTTTGGATTTCATTTCAAACTAGTCAAGGTGCTGAAAGTGTTATTGGGCATACTATGTAAGCAGCTTTCACTAAATACTAAATCTCATTCTTAACTACATTTTAAGTAAATTCTTCATGTTTGTGATCTATAGGTGTGTAAGATGTGAACAAACATTCATCAATGTAAGCAAGTCTTGTGACTGCAGCAGCCCAAACATTTTAGTAAGTACAAGAACGCTTATTGTATTGAAGCTCAGAAAAAGAAATGTTGCTAAGTGTATAAATGTCCTTTTTTTTGGTTGGTTGGTTGGTTGGTTGTTTTGTTTTGTTGGTTTTTCCTTTTTTTTTTTTTTTTTTTTTACAGAGTGGGGGATTGTGTTTCAGTGCTCGTGAAAGCTTACCTCCAAAGGGAGTTGCAACTGTTCGTTTTGGGCAACTAGTAAGTGTTTATTCTGAAACGTTTTCATGCCATCTCCTTATTTACTTTCAGTAAGTCTTTTAAATTCCTGAAAAACAAAGGTAATGGTTCCTGGTCTGATCACAGTGATTGCAAGGTAATTTGCATCAAGATAGACTGTAGACATGTAGATGAGGCAGACATTGTTCTAATGGAATATGTTTAAGAAAATCCATGCCCTCTTGAAAACTGAAAAAAATGAAGTAATTTACATGAATGTAGTATCAAAACAAGTAGCATGTGGTCTGTTGTATTAATTGTATGTATTTAAAAAACATTCTTGTATCACAAAAACAGTCTGAAGAGTCCATGAAGGCCTCTGGGCTTTTTTTTCTTTGTTTTTTCTAATATGTAAAATTGATATTCATATAAAATATTTTAAAGTAGGTACAGGGATTAAAAGGACACTTTTAGCTGTCAGATGATAGAAGAAAATGGACACCTATACAATTTGAGATTGAGTATGAAATCGTTGAACTCCTTGAACTGGCTAATGAATGAAAATATGTTCTGTTGAGAAGAATGAAGGTGTTTTAGTCATTTTAGCTAATGAACTTTTATTAGTAATGAACTTTTATTAGTTATGAAATCTTCACAAAGGTTAGGACCATTTTCCAAATAGTTTTGAATTAAGCAAATGCGATGTGGCTAATAAATGTAGTTTGTTCTTAACTGAATTAATGTTAAAGTCTACTGCTTGAAAGAAAGCAAAAAGCAGTCTTCAGTTTTCCTGATAGCAAATATTGGTCTTGATTTCTGAAAATGCCATCTTCTAAATAATATTTTAATGAAAACATGCCTTTTTGGTTGCTTACAGTATGTACGAAAGCTATATTTAGTTCAAATATGACTAGTTATAAAAAGCAGGTTGTGAAATAATTAATTTGCCAAATTTGGTCCGAAGTTAAAGTTAGCACCCAGTCAACACCTTACCCTTGAAATCGTTAGTACTTCCCTTGTGCAGTAAAGAAAACTCCTTTGTCACAGAATCCATATTCAAGACTTAAATACTTCTGCTCTTGTTCTATATATTTTGTCAAATTTAGTGAAATGGAAGAAATTATTGCATTATGATTGTGTTTTGAACTGAACTGGTTTGACTGAGACAAGGACAGAAAGCTCTTGCAAAAAATAAGTGGCATCTTTTAGCTGACATAGTTTTCCTGACTGTTGTGCTATGGATAAATTGTTCTGAGCAAGGACAGTGAAACAGTTCCTTATCTACAGGGTATAACACTGACATCAGCATGGTTTCTGAAAAATCTGCAGTCCTCAGCCTCTGCCTGTTGGGTGAGTTTCATTAATGTTCGCAGTTTGCTTCTTTATACAGAAGTGATACTCTGTTTAAAACCATGGCACTTTAATTTTGGAAGTTAGCTTGCTTATTTTTAAAGAATCTTATTTTGAGATGACAGTAGATAAGAAATAAATATATATACAGAATGCTTAGAAAGAATATTGAGCTGTAGTCAATGTTAATGCGAGTCTCCAGGGTTGGAATCTTCACAAGGTAAATGGGATTAAAGAAAAAATCCTGCAGTAGTCAATAGGTATGTGAACTGTTCTTGAGTACACCCAGTAAGGGATCACTCAGAAAATTAACTTCTTACATACTCAGAATCGATTGGCAGCTGGTCTTCACCTCTTACTTGTCTTTCAGTTATTCATTTTGTTTTGTGATAGAGAAGGATAATCATAATCATAGAACCATCCCTTTTAGCTTTGCTTTTTGTATGCAAGCATTATTTACCATTATGTTGCTCTGGGTGGCAGTAACCATGGGTGGAAAAGTGGCTGTGGCAACAGAGTCATATGCCCTTGCCTCCTTTTTACCAACTCTGTTATCACACATCCTCATTTCCCTTCTGTATTCCTCTCCTCAAAATCAGATTTTAACTTCTCAAGCCCTACTTTTTCTCCCAATCTGTCATGACTCAAAGGGTTACCTGGCCTGCAGGTATATAAAGATCACAACAGTAGATTTGCAGAATTCTGTAATACACAAGCACACAGAGTCTTTATTTCCTACATTTCTTTATTACAGATCACTACAAATTGCTATTAGTAAAGTGAGTATACTTATTATTAATAAAGCAAGTATATATGTATTCCAATGGTAGCAGCAATCAATAGTAGCAGCAAGCATGTATTTCAAGACTACAAGTTACTCCAAAATTATCACTAGTAAAGCAGGAAATACACTTAAGATCAGTTACCTATATGCATGCCTATGTATATATATTATTCAAAATAGTACCAGGACAGTGCTCAGCAAACCACTGCTGGGAGTGGGGCCTTGCACTCGACAGCAGATGAAGTCTCATGTCAAAGATGATCCACTCTACAGAGTCTGGAGTCAGCCAGGTGCCCCCAGCAATGATCTGATAACTTGCCTAGGAGACCTCGTAGAAAAGTTTGTGCAGGGGGAGTTCTCTGTGTATGTGAGAGACAGACTGAATTGGACAGATTCACTCTTCATTTGGGGTAAAAAGTAAGTCATTTTTACATCGCATAGGGCAGCACCGCCTGGAGCAGCTATTACATGATGATCTTTTTATATTCTCTCACACCAGTTTTTTATTTTTCCAGACTGTTTTTCTGCTCTTTCTGCTATAGAACTAGAGTTTTTCTGCTCTAGAACAGCCGATAGCAGTTGCCGATTCCTACTTTTTCAGAACTTTTTCCCTCTTTTGCAGACTATTTTTCACCTTTCCAGGAGAGAAGTTGCTGTCACAGTTACTTGGTTTTGTGCTTATCAATGGTATCTCCAGATATCACTGGTGTTTAGTTACACAGCTGCACTTCTCAAGAATGTTTCTGTTCCCAGGCCTAGTTCCCAGGCTAGCAGTTCCCATGCTGTCAGGCATTCTGTCTGTCAGTATTTCAGCAGACTTCTGTTCAGTATTTTTCCAGATCACCTTTGTGGCTGCTCCCATCACCATCTCATACACACAGCTCTGAGATGTATTCTCCTCCTTATCCCATTCTTTTTTACAAACTGAGACTGTCCTCATCACTTACCTAAGTTTGTCCTGTTTGTCTGCCTCAGCGGGCTCAGCTCTTCAGAGGTACTGCCTGAATGTAACGTGCAACTGCCCATCTGACCCACACAAAGGCAGCAGGTGGTAGGAAGTTAATACTAGTGCAGTGATTGCTGCACACATGCCAGGCATCACTTCTGCCTATCACACCGCAGTCTGGTTACCAGCATTGAAAACTGGTATAAATACAACATAGTTTAGGAACATCAGAGTAGAGAAAGTACTAAAACTAAAAAGAAGATATTTGCAATACATACAACTATAGTTGTCAGTCTTAGGTCTTTGATGGAGTCATCTTTGTCATACAGCCTAAGTGGTGTTAAACATTTTGATTCTTACTTCATTTTCTAAATGCAGATTTTGACATTTCTGTCACATCATACAATCTAGCTGATGCAACTAAAATAAATTGAAAAAATGAGAGGATTGATTTCATGCTGCCATCTGCAGACCTGTAAAAAATATGGAACCTGAATAGCTGGGAGAAAATATTAGGCGTTGACAAAACGAAATTACTTTCAAGTAAAAATGGTTGTTTAGGAGTGGCTTATTAAAGATAACATTAATTTTATGACTGCCTCACCAAAAGGAGGGGTAAATAAATACTTACCTGTGTTCTTGTGTTTCTCCGCTGCAGTTGTACTCTAATCTAACAGCATGCCAAGCTCTTGGAAATATGTGTGTGATGAATATGAACTCACTGAGTTCTTCAAGTACTGACGCCTGTGGCTTATTTCAGTACATTTATGTCAATACAGCAAGGCTAGGCACTGTTCATTCAATAGCCTTCTGGTAAGTTGCCTTTTCTGTAACTTTCAGTCTTTAATAATGTTTTATAAAAATTATTATTCTAAATGTTCTTTGATGCAAAACATTATGTTTCTTTAGAGAAAACATTGTAATTGTTTTCAGGAGGCATAATCTTCCATGGCTATATTACGGTGATCAACCAGGATTAGCATCCCAAGTGCTTGAGGCAAATCATTTCCCTACAGTCTTCAGTTTTAAAGGAACAGCTAAGGTAGGTGTTGGGTAGTAGACATGGGGAAGCAGACATTAGGAAGAGGACATAATTGCATAAAGAGAGCTAGATTTATTACAGATGTGGCTCTACTAAAAATAATTTTTAGATAGTGTATCAACACTTAGTGTGAGATCTTACCGAAGAGGAAGGCGGTATTTATGTAACAAATCTCAAGGTAAGATGATTTTATTGACTTACACTCGCTCACGTTTGCTTTGCTCACGCTTTCATACCCCCATTCTCATAAGGCCCAGATGTGCTTTCCTGAGTGGTCTGACCAGGATCAACTGTGACTGACACAAGGAATTGGAATGCCAGCTATTAAGTCCCCATTGTGTCCCCAGGGTTCTTCTGGACTGGCAGTGATGAACTAGCAATTAGACAAATCTTCTATACCCCTTAGGAATTGCTAATTGTTTTGGCATTGTCCTTTGCTTCAGAGCCATGTTTGCTTTAATCTCTGTAAGTCTGAGGCAAAGTTGGTCTTTGTCTTTTTCCCTTGTTCGAAATATATACATCCTTTTGTCAGTTTTCCTGGTGAGATAATTGGAAAAAGAGTGGTATATGTGATCTGCGGTAACTTTGCTGCTGTTCTGGTGCCAAAGTGCAGGGTCTTTTGCTGGCAAGTTGTCTGTGCCATGGTTTTATCACAACCCATTTCTCAGCTTTATTGCTGGGAGCCATATTCTTCATTATTGCTATGTGTGTTTAACCTTTTCTTTCTACTGTTTCTGATGCTTACACACACATTTCTATCCCTACTTCATTTATACCAACCTTAATATTTCTGTTACAAATCTCTACAAGCTGAGTTGTATCAGAGATGGATTCAGTCTGTTACTCCAGCCTTTTCCTCTTCCTACAGTCAATTAGGGGAAAAAAAAAAAAAAAAAAAAAGAGGTGAACAAAAACAATCATTTCAATGTTAACAAAGCCAATTATCCATCCCTGGGAGAAATGGATAGCTTAAGTAATTTGTTCACGGGCACAGTTTTACGAAGGAATCAAACAGTAAATTGTTTTATTTTACAGATTCATTGTAAAATTAGAATAACTAGAATAGTTTATTCAAGTTAAGCTAATCACAGAAAGTAGGTATCGCTAGTGATAACCTGTTTGTCGGTTATGCTGACAAACTTATCTTAGGTTTTCTTATTGACTCAGAAATAAATTAATAGGGTTTTTTAGCCGTATTCTAAAAGGTTGTGTTTTAAATTAAACAGTGTTGCAATGCAGCACTTGTTTTAACAATTAAAATACTTGTTATTTTTCCTAACACTGAAGGTCCTGTAAGCCCTCAAGATCCCAGCCTGGTACACTTTAGAGATCTGCACAGATTTCTGATTAGTTTAGGACATGTCTACCTGTGTAGAAGCATTTGGAACTTTTTTCCACATTACCAATTAAGCTGTAGAAGAATGGTAAAGTATTTTTTTTTTTAAAAAGGAAACTACCAAAACCAAGATTAAAAACATAAAATCAAAGGGGGAAAAAATAAAGCATTGTGCTGAAAGTTTTAAGGAAGCATCAAATGATGAGACAGCAGTCCCTAAAATACGTATGTCCACTTTGTGGCAGTTTCATTGTTTCTTTATATTCTTTCATCATCAGGATGTAAAGCTGCAATTTATTGCAGCCTCATTTGATGCAGCAGGAAACTTTCTTAAGTGGCAAAGCTTGGAAGGAGGCATCTTACAGGTATGTTTAATTTTAATTGTATTTTGCTGATACCGTAATGTTCTGATTGTCTTTAGCCAAATTAAGAGAAAAGCCAAGAGTTTGGTTACCACACTAGTGACAGTTTATGAGATAACTATAGAGCTAGGTTAGGGAAAATAGCCCTTGTGATTCTTGCTCACGATGATCTCTACAAAATCAAAAGTATAAATTTAGCAACATTGCCTTCATCCATTGGACCAATATAAATTTGGAGTATTGGAAAGCTCTGAAAAACATTGCTAGTCATTTAGAACCAACCATCTCTTTCTTCCATTCATGTATGTAATTTCTTCACCCATGTATGTAATTTATTATTAGCCCTCTTGTCAAAAAAAAGTGTATTCTTTAGCTCTCAGACCACATATGTTTATAGATGATTCTATGAGTATGTCTGCATTAGATTCTGTCACCAGTTTTCTCACATTATGGGGATGCCAAGCAAATCAAAGGTTATGTCACTGTCAAGAGAGGTAGGAAAACTGATCTACCACCCCATCTTGGTATTTTTTGTTTGCTTATTTGCTTTGGTTTTAAATATAAAATATATGCTTTGGCCAGCATCTGACTGGATTTTTCATAACAGAAAGTTATAAAAATTTGATGGGAGACTTTACATAGAAATGTGGAACGCTGGCTAGAAGATTCACAGTACCCTTGGACAGTCTACCCTCAGATTTCAGTGGCACACACACACGCTACTTCAGCAGTACCGTGCTATATGGAGAACGTGTGAAAAACTCAAGTAAGCAGCAAGTAGAAAGTGCAATAGTAATTAGCCTAACAGTGAGCAGAAATCAGCAGCTGTGAAACATATTACAGAGTAGAATTTGTTTAGCAGTCCAGTGGTGATTTAGGCACTCTCAGCAATTCTGTAGGCAGGCAACAATAGGAAAACTAGCAAGAACAATTGGGAATTGTCTGCCCCCTTTTCTAGGCTATTCATGGAGCACGTCACTTCATATGCTCCAGGATCTACAGAAGAGCAGCTGACACTCAGGATTTAGATAGTGACGGCTGTTTCTTTTGGTATTGTCTGAGGATGAACCATCTTGCATCTGCCTTTCAAGTTTTAAGGAAAACTAGTGTCTGAGAAAACAGGTTGCTAAGCCAATTACTGTGCATAGAAAATTGTATGTTCTGACATAGATTTTAAGGTTTATTGAAAGGCATCAATTTCCTAAATGCAGAACTTTTAGTAGCCATCAAAAATCAGTGGGAAAGGAATAACTTTTCCATTCAAAGCCTCTTTTAATGTAATGGATTGTGCATGACATCACAGTGCTAAAGCGATTTCAATGCGTAATTGTAGCGATACCCAGAATTTCAGTTGCACACTAACAGAATTGTATTTTATGTAAATTTAGACTTGATTTTCATTGTGGGAAAACGGCTATGCCCTCCACTAAGTGCCATGCTCATTTAGTTAGAATTTGGCCCATTTTTCTGGGTTCAGATTAGAATGACTTGTTCTTTGCATAAAATGTAACAATTACATTGAAAAGGAAAAAAAAAAAGTCTGTTACTTGCCTTGGTAACTTTGATCCTGTGAGAATGCTATCTTAAGAGGAAGGGGGCAATATGAATGTGGAGTTCTTTTCTCATGGGATTCTTGGGTTTAGCAGAAGCCACTAATAAAGCTTGAGACAGCACAGTGCATTGAACATTCAGTCCCTGAAAAGATTATTCTGGTTGGATGCTGCTGTTCACAGATTTCACCTCTAGTGATGGAACTGAAAGATACTGTGCAAGTATGAATAAGCTAAAACAGTATTTTAAGAACATCAATATTAGTTCAATAAACAATTGTGTTTACTCTTTAAAATCACTCCCTCTCTTCTTAAAAAATGGAATAAAATATCTTTTGTGAGAACTGTGAATACATAAACTGCTTGGGGCACCTGTAAGTATTTCATGTGAGAAAGTTATACTTTTGAATTAACCTAATTATTATTATGTTTTATTCAGCTTTGTCCTGATACCCAAACTAAATTGAATGCAGCTTATGCATTTGGAACAACTTACCAACAAAGTGTAAGTAAGAGATAAAATGCTATTATGAATTTCAATTAAGTTGTTTTATACATCATCAGTAATTCAGTGCATATTGAAGGACCTCTGGAGTTTAGACATAAGCTGCAACATGGACTTCTCTCTTGTGAAACTGTTGCTTATTTTAATTTCTTTATTATTGAGTGAAATAAATGTATTTTTAAAAACTATTTAATCATACATCACAACACATGTTTACTACATAGGATAATAAAAATAAATTGAACTGGCATTTGTATTAGTGAGGTTGCTGACTTCTCAGTGGAAGAACACAATGCCTGAATTCTGACAGTCATATACTTTGTGTTGTAACTTCTAATTTTCCTGCCTCCCGTCTTTGGCCAGTTTTCATATGGAAAAAAGATATATGCAGTCATGCCACGCCTATATGTATGCATACAGATTTCAGTGAATTCAATAAAGAGATTGAAGGCAAGTTTTAATTGAACAGATGACACATCAGAGGAAAGAGATTCTTTAACTGTCTTAACTATGGAAAAAGCTATTGGAGTTTTCACACCTTACTAAACACCAGGAAAGGAAGAGCAGATAGAGCACTTGAGCTTGCATATACTTCAATGCTAAATTCAGTCAGCCGCAGACATGGTTCTGCCAGCAATAAAGCTTCATTAATTTTTGTCACTTACGTGTTAAATGGGGAGGCTGTAGTCTCTTTGGCAGGGGGGTGGAGAAATAACATCTTTATTTTTATAAAACTCCATATGTGTGCACAGCATCTACTACCTACATATCGATTAATATTATTTATTAACTCATCTACATTCAAAATCATTCCTCACATTATGTGTAAAAATACATAAACTCTGGCTGCTATTTGGGTGGTGTGAAAGTCTTGTAGAGTAATAGCTGTCAAAGCTTTAGTCCTTGAAAACTAAGGTGTTTACCAAATAATTTTTACAAATGTTTGTTAAATATTTTTACTCTTCCATATTGTTTAATGTTGATGAACCCCTATTTCAGTATTTTCAGACAGAATGGAAGCTTATTTTTACTTAGAACCATTGAACTAATCAAGTATAGTTATTCTTTCTTTGTGCTTTTTAAAATCTTACATAGTCGATCTGTAGAACCCATTGTTAAGTATTAACAGCAGTTAATATTACTGTGTTTAAATACAACCACCAGTAAATATTAACTTCCTGAGTATTTTTTAATGCAATTCTTTTTGATGGATTGTATACATCACTTTTTTTTTCCTACAGCTTTGGAGAAAACATGATTGACATGTTACATGAGTATTTAAAGACTGCACATTTGCTGACATAAGCAGAAAAATACCTACTTTCACATTTAATTTCTTCACACAATCACAGAATGGTTGATGTAGGCAGGGGCCTCAGCAGGTCATCTTGTCCAACCCCCTGCTCAAGTGGGGTCACCTAGAGCAGGTTGCCCAGGACCGTGTTCAGACAATTCTTGAGTATCTCCAAGCATGGAGATGCCACAACCTCTCTGGGCAACCTGTGCCAGTGCTCAGTCACTCTCACAGTGAAAAAGTGTTTCCTAATGCTCAAATGGAACCTCCTGTTTCAGTTTGTGCCCACTGCCTCTCGTCCTGTCACTGAGCACCACTGGAAAGAGCCTGGCTCTGTCTTGCACACCCACTTCAGATACTTCTACACATTGATAAGATCCCCTCAGCCTTCTTAGCTCCAGGCAAAACAGTCCTAGCTCCCTCAGCCTTTCCTCATAGGAGAGATGCTCCAGTCCCTTCATCATCTTAGTGGCCTGCACTGGATTACGTCAAGTAGCTCCATTTCTCTCTTGCCTCGATGAGCCCAGAACCAGGCAAGGTACTCCATGACTTCAGCATTTATGTTTCCTGCTGTTTCAAATTTTATGTCTGTGAAATTTTATAGGATATTTTTTCCTAATCTGTTGAAAAATGTTAGCAGAGCTTCATTCTCCGCATTAGTAATTCTAGTCAATTGCAGTAATTTTCCAGAGGTTTGTATAAAATTGTTAGTATTTTGTAATTGCTTGCAAGTAGCTGGAATGCCTTGTCTTTTGTGAAGAAGTGGGACAGATTCCACAATAATTTTGTAGGGAAAGAATCCACAACTTGATAAAATCATTAAATGGCTAAAGTGATCTTCTTATTTTAACATTTTCTTGTAGTGCAAAATTTCAGTTTCCAAGATTTTATTGGATTTTGCTAATCCAATCTTTTATGACCTATTCCTTGAATATAATGGTGACAGTGGACAACAATATCTTTGGGCTGTGCCAGTTTTAAACTTGAATCTTCAATACAGTGAAATGTTTGTTAATCAAGGTAAGACTGTCATAGTAGCGTTTCTGTGAGTTTAAATAATTTGAATAACTTCAAATAGAAACAAATTTGTATTAATTACTGTTAATGAGTTGTTTTTAAAGATACCCCAACACATCATTACTTGTTTCTGTTTTAAGAATTTAATATTTTTTGAGCAAGTTCTAGTAGCATTAAGTGCAAGCTTTGGTTGCATACACTGGACTGATCAATAATATGCACAAATAAAGTAATTAATTTAATTAGGTATTTGTTTAAGTTGAAAATAAATAATTTTACATCCTGAATATAGTTATATGTATTATAGAGTTATATGTGTCATTTCAAGTAGATTTTGTTCTTTTTGTGTTGAATTAGTTTTTTAAATATTACATGACTGTCATGTTTTTCAAAGGCAGTAATATGAACAACTGGCTTTTGACTCGTCGATTTTTTTTGGTGGATGCGCTAAGTGGAAAAGAGAATGACTTGGGAAAACTACCAAGAGTAATTCGGATTGCTAGCAAAATAACCATAAGGTGATTAATTGCATATAATATATAGTACATAGAAAATAAAGCAAATTTTGTGCAGTCTTCATTTTATTATCTTGAAGTTGTTTTATTCTGTTGTTTCTAATATGTCCTGTGCTGCTCTTTCCGTTGCGTACTTGGAAATAGCGAGAGTTTCCACAGGTTGTTCTGATAAGTGAGTGAGTGAGAAAACACAACGTGGACTGGTGGGGGTTAAAACTACTGTGATTACTTTCCAGGTAGGATGGATCAGACTGTGCACACGTAATGCACGTTAGCAGGCATTGTTCGCCTCTTAGAAGCAGGTGTCGTCTGGAAAGACCTAAAAGCTTCTCTTTTAATTCTTTTTTGATGTGTATGTTGCTGACTATACTAGGATGCTATTTCATACTCCGTATTGTTTTCTGCAGTATTTTTACAAACTGTTGTCTATTCTGTTACACAATCCAGAATATGGTTGTAATCATTTAACGGAAATTGTGAGACTACCTGTTAGGGTCATTACTGATGGTTAATCCCAGCTGGAATATGTTTTGAAAGAACCTTTTTTTTCTCCTTCTTTATGTAATGTCTTCCTCTGAGATGACTGTCTAGAAATTGAGATCTCCCTTTTCTTTCAGGTATTCTTCACAACTTATTAGTTTAAAAGGTTGCTGAGTAGCACTGAGTACTGATGCATACAAGCAATCATCCTGAAGATTAATTTAATGAACTAACTCCATTTGCTGAGAATTACATATTACTTTTTTTTTTTTTTTAAATGATTATCTTAAGATCTTAGGAGAACCCCCTCTCACCACCCCCCTTCAAAAAAAGAGGATAATTGCCTTTTGGAATTTACTTCAGTTGCAGCTATTGTAATGTGAGCAGTAGGTAAAGATTGATTCAGGTATTTTCTTACAAATAAACAATCCTTCCCAGCTTTTCCTTTTTATATATTTGTGTACACACTTTTGTACAGTCCAGTTGCTTTTAAAATGTGAATTGTCATGTCATTGGTTTTGAAACACACGTCCTATCGATCAGTTTGTTTTGTTCATTTAGTTTTTTCTTACCGGTACAAGTTTCAATAAATACTTGCCAAGCAACTCATCCATTTTCTGTATTAAAAATAATATTCTGTATTTCTGCAGTATTCGTCTGGTATCCCATACTCAGAGAGGAACCATCTACCCTCCTCTAATTACTGTTGCTTACACAGATGTGCTTGTCCAAAACCCTGAAACCCAGAGTGTGATGGTGAGATCTTTGTGCTACCTTAATTGAACCAATTTGTCAATCATATTTTTAGTTCTGTTGGAATTCCTGTTGAGTGAACATTTTTGGGGAGGGTTATAAAAATTTAATAAGCAGTTTCTAGTTCTCAGTTTTGAAGTTGAAAGTTTTCACTAAAATTTGAAGCTTTTAAAACAAAGCAGTTCAAAGTATTTTCTTTTAATTTATCTTGAGTTTTTGAACTTAAAATACTTAGAATTTTACAGTTGGTTGTATAATGCTAGATTAGGCTGCAGTTCGAATAAAATTATACACACAGAAAATAACAGGAAAAGTACTCTATGCAATGCACTGAAAACAGCAATCTATGCAAGAAATTGAATATCTTTATTTAAAGCAAGGCATTAAGAGGAGGTTGTTACGGCACAGATGTTTCAGGTCACCTCTACTTTACATTGGAAATTATATCTAAAACATCCTTTAGTGTTTTGTCTGCTGTGTATTATTTACAGCATATCTCTAAGAATTAAAGTAAAACAGTCCAAAAATCTATAGCCAAAGGGGTTGGAGATCAGTTTGAGGGATCTTTCTCTACTGAAAACCACTGAATTCTGCTGTAGCAGATGCACAAGGGGCATTTGGTACTTGCTTTTTTGCCTCTCATGACGGGTAGCAGCTCAGATGCCCCATTCCTGTGCCTTGTTTGTTTGCTAGATCACCCTGCTTTAAAAAGTGAAAATGTTGAGCTTAATACAGTAAAAAAATCATTCTGCTATTTAAAAAAAATGTATAGTATTAACATTTTCTGCTTATCATCCTTCAACAGTTCAGGCTTCCAGTACAGAGAGACATCTAGCTAGAAATTTCAGGTACTAGAACCATTCCTTGCTTTCCATATTAGCTGCATAAAAGGAAGGAAGGAAGAGACAGGGAATTAGAAAGCTAGAAAAATTAGTCAGACATTCTTCTCTGCCTAAATTATGTCTGTATTTAACCACAGAAACAGCACTGTTTTTAGAAAATAATTCATTCAAATGGCAATGTCAGGAACAATTGTTCTCAGTTTGTCTATTTTCTCTTACACTATTTCACCCTTACATCTACATCTGATATCTTTAAGTGTTGTCACTTTTGGATGTTTCTTGCATTTAACAAATTTTATGCAAGTAAAAAGATAAATTGAATTTCATTCCAAGTTCTATAAACACTGAATTTCTAGCAACTGAGAATACTTAGACTTAAATCCAAGTGAGGTGATAGAATGAGCTCTGACAGGAACAAATATCTTGGGAAGCCAAGGTGAGAGGGAAGGAGGGATTGGTTGCGGGGAGGAGGGTGTCCTTTTTTTTTAACTGAATTAAAAATAATACTCATTATTATACCCATGTTAACTTTAGCCTTGCAGTGACAAAGACTTGGGCTAGAATGTTTTAAAACCAACACAAACATTTTCTCTTCCTTGTACAAATCTTTCAGACCAAAGTCAAAATAGGTCTTTGGTTAGATATTTAAGCTAGGGGGAGCACTTTTGGTACGGCATGACAATTTCTATTTCATTCAAGCTGGAAAAAAAAATGGTGTCTGACCTATGTAAGAGCTCACTTCATGATTTTGCATATTGGTGTAATTACATTAAAGTTACTGTTAATCAACACTGACAAAAGGGAAAGTATCAAACCTTTGGTGTCTCCTTTCAGAAGGAGAAAAAACTATGCACATTTGAAGGGTTTATAATTAGGTACAGCTAGTAACTTGCAGATAGCAGGTGTCCATCCCCAGCATTACTCTTGGTAAAATCTGCACTAAGCATTGCAGAGCACATGCTAGTACTAAGCCTGGCACTGTAGCATACCAGATCAGATGTATACAGTAAAAGAAGATATATGTTGTACTTGTATAGTAGCCCTGGATGGGAATTCCTGCCAACTAGAAGTGTGAAAATGCCACTGTCTATAATGGTTGTTGTAGTGTTTCAGAATTTCTATGCATATTTACTTTGTTTATCTTAATATTCAGGTATCCTTCTCAGTCAATTATGAGATGAATCAATCAGAGGCTCAGATTCAGACTGATGTAAGTCGTATTTCCCTTTAATTTGTCAATATAATGATTTACTTCTATTTTATGGGTTTAAAAAATATCTGCAAATAATTTTTCATTCTCTTCAGATCACGCTGGGTGTGTTGGGTGGGCTTGCAGTGTTATGGTCCCTTCTCAAGACTGCAGGCTGGAAGAGGCGTACAGGAAGTTCTATAATTGACTTGCAGGTATAAACAGCTGACAACCTAAAAAGGGACATGTCTTCCTGTCTTAGAGGAGACCTTTGCTGTTATTCCCTGTGATAAAACTATTCTGTTTCTTAAGGTGACTGAAATATTTTCTAGCTTTTCTAGAACTGTGACCTGGAGTTAGGCTTACTTGAGGAAGTAGGGGTTTTGCATTTTTTGGATTCTGATGTCATTTAGGAAATACTTTTGCTGAAAATAAAGGTATTTGCAGAACTATTCTGATCAGTTGAGTGGACTTAGTTTTCAGACTGATTCTTCTTTGAACAAAGACTAGCATGTAGGAGTTTCAGATACTGAATATACCATCAATATATGACCACAGTCGAAAAATGTTGTTCGAGGCTACTTTTCAGTACTAGAGTTTCCTGTAGTGTGAGCTGTGTTATATGAATGCACATATGCATTACTTAATTAGTTTCACAGATCTCTATAGTGTGTTTTTATAATTGCAGACAGTTTTGAAGTTCTTACTGTTTTATGCTGGAGACCTTGCCAACGTTTTCTTTATCATCACAGTGGGCACAGGGATTTATTGGCTTGTGTTCTTCAAAGTAAGTGTTTTTTCCAGGTTTCTGTGTTATGAAAACCTAGTAATATTGCGTTTATTTTTACACAATAATTCATTTTCCTTTTTTTTTTTTTTTTTTTTTTTTTTTTTGCCTTTCTGGTCAGACTATTGAGGCAAGTTCTATATCATATTCTGGTTTGTGTACTTACATTTTTGTGTTTACCTGTTTCTTTTCCTTAGGATTCATTGTATTTGCAGTCTGCTTATTAGTCACTTAAACTATTTTATAAATTCAAAATGACTGCACATTAGATACTGACCTTTTCCTGAAAAACTTTATTCACTCTTAAGCACTTAATATGTTGTTACATATGTCATCCATACTATTTCAATGTAACTTCTCAATTATAGGCTCAGCAGTTTGTCTCTGTCCTTTTACCACTTCCGTCTCAAGAAGAAGGTTTTGTTACATACATAGCATGTGCGTTTAGTTTAAAGGTAAATATTTTTTTTCCTCCGGCATTAAAGACATTTCAGCATATGCTTCTGTATATTTTTACTAGGTTTATTAAACATCTTGTATAGTTTGTTTTATTAGTGTATAGACATAAACAATTATTTTATTCTAAGAATTAAGTAATTTTTCCATAGAAATGTATTTTATGGAGTCTTTACAGGGAAACAAATGCCTAAGGAAGATGATCTATGGAAAATTATTCTTTCAAGGGTAAAAGTGTAAAGAAACCCACATAAAAGAGCACCATATCAAGAAAGCAAGTGCTTTCCTTTAAAGCACAATATAAATGCTGTTAGTTCTTGATTAAAAATAAGACATTACAATAATTGTGTTCAAATACACTTGTAGAATTCAGAGATCAGTATTCTGTCTTCATGGGACATACAAGTATTTTATTAATTATGGGTGTTATATTGAATTTGAATTCATAATACAGGTTAATATGTTATGTGAAAATACTTAGTCAATTTTTTAGAATTTGTTATTTTGTTCTATTTTATTCATAATTTTGGACATCATCATATGACTTACCATTATTCCAAACTTTTAAATTAAAAAAAAAAAAAAATATCAAAAGTTGGTAACAAAGTTGTAATCTCAAGTATAGTCAAGTACATGACTTGTTATGTTTAATGAATGACATATGCAATGGCTGTTTATTCATCTTTGTCTATATGCCACTGCTGTCCTTACTTGTTATATTTCTCCTTTTTCCTTCTTAGGCTCTTCAATTCTTACAATTGCTGGTTTCACAACTTACTATAGATATTTTCTTTATTGACTGGGAAAGACCTAAGGGCAAAGTTCTTAAAGCAGTTGAAGGTAGCTCAAACTATTCTTGTCTGTATAAACAGCTTTGGTTAAATTCAAATATTACTCTCAAGTATTAAATTTCAGAGCTTTATTGTATGTATTCTTTTTAGGTGAAGGTGTTATTAGAAGTGCTGCTGCACCTGTGAGCATATGGAGGACATATTTTATAGCAAATGAATGGAATGAAATTCAGACAGTGAGGAAGATAAACCCCCTCTTTCAAGTCCTTGCAGTTCTTTTTTTTCTGGAGGTATTATTACTACAATTATTATTGTAATGTTACTAATTTTTTATGATTCACAACCAGAGGGTAGCATAAGGGTCTGATTTTTAATTCTTGTATTCTCTGTGGTAATAGTGGATCACCTTCAAGTTCACTTGAAAACATGTACCTTAGTAAAGTAATTATTTTAATATTTTTGAAATTTATATGTATGTATGTATAGGGCATTGCAATATTTCATTAAGGAAGACTTAAAAAAAAAAAAAAATCCCAACCTTTAATTACCTTAGAGACCTTTGTTAGGTTTGGTTGTTTTTTTCTAAGGTAATGAGTTACCCTAAATGGCTTGAGAGACTGATAAATCTGTGTACACACTCAATTCTTTATTTGCCTCCTGGATCCCTCCTGCCACTGTCTACAACTTTATTCCTGGTTTCATATTTATCTGAACGGAGCTTCCTTCCTGCTATTTTGCTGTAATAACCTTTTATAAAGCAGGAAATTAAATGTGCCAGTTCTCTTCCTGATGGCATAACACCGAACAATGGCATTATGCCTTCAGTTACAGCCTAAGGATATGTGAGAAATTGCGCTTTAGCCTTTCAAAAATATTTCTGTTTGTTTTTTTCTGTAGTTTGGTAAGTACTTTTCTTCTGGAAAGTATTCTTAGAGAGTATAGCATGCAGTTGTTTATGTGAGGTTCTTTTATGTATTCTTAATACTTTTATTAATTTTTATACTTCTGGTTTTAAATTTCCTATTTTTCTTTTAAATGAAATACAGTAAAAAGCCCCAAACTGTCCTCATTCACTACATCAGTATCTTGCTGTTGGTAAATGCAGGACAGGACCAACTTAGGTGCCATGTTACAAGGAACAAATGGGAGAAAAGAGAGCACGTATTCCCAGAACTAACAACCTCCTCAGGTTACTCTCCATAGGCTCTTGGTATTACTAGAAGGGAGAGGCTGTAGAGAGCGATTCACATCTTGCTCTACAACTCCTGCTATGAATTTCCCTCTGGAGAGTCCCTTTCTTGCCACTGGTGTTAGAGGAAGTCATGAAAGATACCTAAAGAGCCAAAAATTTTGTGAAAACCTCAGATAATCTTTATAACTTTCATTGTCATGCTGGTGTTTGGAACCTAGTTTCCCCAGAAGTATGGTGCACATGGTAGATATGGCCATCAGCTGCTCGCTACGAGGGGAAACTTCTGTATTACTCAAAACCTGTCTTCTTGGGTTAGCAATTTTGGTAAAGTGACTGTTCAGTTCTCACTAATCATGGTGACAGGCTGTACAGTAGTAAAAAATGAGCTGGGAAAAGTAATAGTTGAAGGAAGTGGAAAGTGTAGGAGTCTCCCTCCCCTCAGGCCTCATGTCTGGCAACAGAGCAGCCACTGGTTGGCACTGGTCGCCATGGCAGTGTTGACTACACGGCCAATGCAGGTAACACTGGCAGCAAAACTGAGCTTTTCAATATTGTACTGGGTCTGGCTGGAATGGAGTTAATTTTCTTACTAGCAGCCCATATAGTTCTGTGTTTTGGATTTGTGGCTAGAACAGGGCTGATGACACACCAGTGATTTGGCTGTTGCTGAACAGCACTTTCACAGCATCAAGGCCACCAGCTAAGAGGCTGGGGCTGCACAAGGAGCTGGGAGGAGAACACAACCAGGACAGCTGACCCCAACTGACCAGAGGGGTATTCTGTACCATATACCATCTTGCTCAGCAATAAAAACGGAGGGGAGGGGTTTTCTGGGGACTGACTGGGCATCAGTCTACTTGTGTGAGGCAGTGATTGCCTTTGCATCACTTGCCGTGGAGTTCTTATTTCACCTTCTTCTTCCCTTTTCTTTGCTCCTTAAACTGTCTTTATCTTGACCCACAAGTTTTCTTGCTTTTGTTTTTCCTGTTCTCCGTCCCACTGTGGTGGGGTCAACCCACCACAAGTATGTTTCTGGTGTACCTTCAGTTCTGAATGATTTTTACAAAATTTTCACCTAAGTGTTTCAAGACACAGTACTTTTCTCCTTTTTTATTTGGGAATTTTTTCTAGATTGTTTGTTTAAAATAGTTTCAGCCATAAAGACAGTGGGAATAAATATATTTCTAGTCAATAAGAACAAAAAAATCAGCTTCTTACAGTTGCAGAACAGATTAAAAAATTATTTAAACTCTGGAATGTACAGGACTAAAAAGCTGAAATTTGGCAGAAGTAATATCTCTATGCAGTCTAACATTATAATCTTTTTGAGTTTTTCAATAAAAAACAATACTGACTTTTCATGAGATTTAGCTGCGTATGTTTTTGAATTTATGTATCAACACATATACTTACAGTTTATGTTTTTAATTATGTTTCTCAGTAATAACACTGAATCACAGAGTTGGGCTTTATCATAATGAACATGCTACTATTCCTAGGTCCATTTTTCCTAATTTTTTCTTCCTACTTCCTGTTATGATGGAAATAACAAGGTCATAATTAATACTATTGATTGCCTCATGTTGTTATATTAACTTTCTTATCTCTTCAGGTGGTGGGATTTTCAAACCTGGCTTTAATGGATTCTTCTTCCAGTCTTACAAGAAGCAGTGAGAGTTACATAGCTCCTTGGAGCCGCATTTTAAGATTTGGTGTGTCTGCTGCACTCTGGCTAGCCATTGCCTTCTTACAGGTATGTAAAACACATGACATACTGAATTATCATTTTCAGTCTGGTTCTTGGAAGCTAGAATATATCACTAGGCCATCCATACTAAGTATCATAGCATTGGGTATATTCTTAACTGTTTTGCTTGATCTAGACTTTAGGCTGCTTTAGCATGTTGAACCTTAGAACTCAAAATTAATCTTCTGTGCTGTGAGACATCTAACTTTGTAGTCAGAATTTTAATCCTCAAAGATGTGAATTTATGCAACTCCTTTGTTTTGTTTAAACAACTTTGAAGCATCTCCAAGTGCAAAATGAAAAGCATGTCATTGCTATAACTTTACTTCTTAGAGGAGAGATATCAATCCCCTTTCAGAGAGTCCAATGCAATGATGGCCATTACAGAAGTCTGTAATTTGTGAGTGTTAAACTGTGAAGTTAATTGCTTAATAAAGTAAAATCTGGTGAATTAATCAAAGAAAATTTGGTTGATTTTTTTCAGATTATATTTTTTTCTGTGTTTTATGAAAGATTTGTTGAAGATAAGATAAGCCAATTTGTTGATTTGTGTTGTATGAGCAATGTAAGTATTTCTTTGTCTCATTTGTACAGTAATATTTTTAACAGAATACATGATAGTTTTAATAGTATTAAATAGTATTTATTCATTTAATTTAATCAGAGATTACTAGCTAAGAGCCAAAGTCAGTGTTTCTTTCAGCTCACTTTATTGGTGCAATGTATCAATATGCTCTTCTAGACGTGTGATTTTTAGGTTGCTTTTTGAAATTAAATTGGTTATATTTGCTCATACAGAATTAAAGAGTAAGAAATTATGACAGAAATTAGGCATGGAAGCATTTGCTGCCATTCTGTCTACTGCTTTGCATTTTACTAGTTTTCTCTTACAGACAGAGCTGTCTTGGTTTTATTTATTAAGTTTATGTTCAGTTTCTGCCCCTGCCTTGTGGTGGTCCCTCAACCACTGAACTTCATGCTTGTCCCTCTTGGACAGTTACCACCTTTTTCATGCATTTTCACATGCTCACATCTGACTACTTCAATTTCTTTAGTTTAAATATGGGCCTTGAAGCTTTGTGCTGCAGGAATTCCTTTTTAACCGAAGAAGAGTTAAGTCAGAATCGGTTGGATTAGCTCATTTGTCCAGAACTTTTTAAAAATACAGTGATGAACCCCTTTTATCAGCCTTTCCAGCCTTCGTTATTTCTCTTCCATGAAAGACCCATGTAATGCATGGGTTGTAGAGAGAGATAATTTTGGTTTTTATGTGATACATAAGTACTGTATCATACTGAATGAAATTCTATTAAGTACGGTCTCCTAGAAGCTAAACTGGAATCATGTATGTGATATGTATCACAGAAATAACTTTTGAAACAAAATAAAAGCTGATAACTTTGCTTTAATTTTTTTGGCTCAGTGGAATTAAGTAGTGATTCTTGCCGTTGATAAACTAAACTTGAAGCTAGTGTGTGTTCCTATTTAAACATAGATAAAACTAATCAGTAAAAGAGTTAGTAAATATTTTTCTGCCATATTTATTTTGGTACCTGCCTACTTTGTATTTGTAGAAGGGCTGGTCTTGCTAATCCCTACTGTGAATTCAAAAGTTCAGAAATAAAATTAAAATATTTATTTAAATTATTCTTCTCTTCTCCCATCTCTTCTAGATTTCAGTGTTTCTCTTGTCACACAGCTGCTTTGGTTATTATATCCATGGTCGCTCTGTGCATGGACATGCAGATACCAATATGGAAGAAATGAATATGAACTTAAAGAGGGAAGCAGTAAGTAAAAGTTCTAAAGTTTACACCTGCTCTAATTATTTATTTTCTAAAAAAAAAATACCACACCTTTGCATTATGGATCTGCACTTGTGCATTACATTGCACCAAGTAATGATACTTAAAAGATGCCAGCTGTTGGTGTGTAAATATATGATTCAGTTCTTTTTAATTATCTCTTCATCTTTCTTCTTCTTCACTACCTCTTCTTCTCTGTTACTTCTTCAGATTTCATAGATATAAAATTCCTGTTTTTCTAAAAAGTTTTTTCATGTATTTAAGAACCTTCTTTTTGATATTGGAGCTTTTCATAAGCTCATGACCACATTCAAAAAGATGCATACCAAAAAGCTTTCATAAAGACACAGATTTGAAAAACTCCTGATAAATATCTATTCTTCCAGTAAATTCATTTATTCCATCTCTTCTGCTGTGGTGATATAACCTATTCTTTACAGACATTAATTTTAATAAGTATTTTTTCTAGTTGGTTGTATGCTGTATCTTTGCTGCAAGATCAGGCAAATGTAAAATGTCTAATACAAGATTGAAGCACTTTGCACTAAATTTCATGACATCTTGCACCTTTGTAGGGACAAGTAGGAAGAAAATACGTTAGATGAAGGATATTGCTATTTCAGTAATAAATGGACAGAGAAAAAAATAAATGTGAAAATTAAACATTGAAACGTAGAGGAATCTTTTTAATATTTTTGACTTGTGCATTCCTGTGATTTTTTCCTAATTGTTTATTTTAATACAATTTGGGGAAAAGCAGTTTTTTCCCCATGGAAATGTCGAATTTTCTATTTTCTTGGGGGTTTTGAGATATATTAAATGTGACCTGAAAAACATGACAGAAGTCAGGAATCCAAAGCACAAAAAAAGCAGGACAAGTAGAGAATAAATGATAAACATAAAAGCAAGGGCTTCGGAGTGAATGTCAAAAGATGTGTTAGAAGGTGATGAACTGAACACAAGTGAAAAGAGGAATATGACATTGTGACAGCAGGGGTCAGGATTTCATGTCCTAGGAAAATCTTGCTATAATAGAACCAAGAGTGCAGTGGATTCAAATATTTAGAGATACTGAGTACTATGTGTAAATGAAAGAGAGGAAATCAAATCTTTTGACTTTTTGGGGTCTATGGATGACATTGATAATGTTAATTTACAATTCCTTCAATTGTACAGGAAAATCTATGTAGTCAGAGAGGTTTGTTACCGAACACAGATGGCCAGACATTTCAGATTTCCATTTCAAGAAAAATGAGACTGCACTATGACAGGATTCATGAAAACCTAACAAGAGTAAGTGAGATATTTGTATTCTGCAAATGTTATTTACAATATGTAATTTTTCTGCTGAAGTCATGGTCATGTTATGTTTCAGAAACATGGTCCTGCTAGGCTTCTGGGTTCATCTGCAAATACTTTTGAACAAAGCACAAGGGCATACAACACCATGAACAAATTTCTCAGTTCTTTTATTGATCACGTATGTATATTGACATTACTATATTAAAGAAAATATAACTATAGTAAGTAGAGACTAAAAATTGTAAATCTGAAAGACTGTAATTTCTCTTTAAGCATATGTGCTTAAAGGCTTGTTGTTAAAGGCTTTATGGCAACTGGAACAGTGCTTCATTCAAAAAAAAAAAAAAAAGGAGTACTGTCCAACAGTGCAGCCTGCTCTTGAAAATGACAAATCCTGTTTTGTTAAGTACTTATTTTTGTCTTGGAATAGACCAGTGCTTTTTTTTCATTCATAAAGGTCTAAGTAGCTGTACTTCACTTTGTAACAAGTACTTTTTCTTTCAAATCATAAAACAAGTATTGTTTTTCCTTTTCTTATAGGTTCATAAAGAAATTGATTATATTGTTAAAGATAAGTTGCTGCTTGAACGGATTCTTGGCATGGAGTTCATGGAACCAATAGAGAAAAGTCTTTTTTACAATGGTAAAAAGATTTGTGACTTTGTATTTGTACCATATTTGTAAGTATGTAGGTTTCTGTGTAAATTTCTTTCCCAGGATTTACAATCTAAACTGGACTTTATAGCAGGAGAGGTCATTAAATGACCACTTGTGAGGGAGATACTTAAAAGAAGTTCTTCAGGTTACAGAAATCTTATTTATAATTTGTTACTAGACTGCAATGTTTTTCCTTTTAGGCAACTGAAAGGATACTGTGTAGAGACATGCATGTATTTACGAAGTGCTCCTTTGACTTGTTATCTAGATCAATATCTTCTTTATAAATGAAGACCCACAATATTTAAATAGCTCCATACTGATTTTTTTATATATAGAACCAGATTTCTTATGAAACAACTTAAAGTACAGAAAGACAATTTCTTTAAAGAAGATATTGATCACAGTGAGGATGTTTTAGTGGAATACTTGATATTAATACACCACTACACCACTCATCTTTGCAGACTCCACTAAGTAATTTGGGTTCTTGAACATTTTATTTTGAAGCTTTTTAAGCATTACCAGTACCTATAGCAAAAATTAGTATTCCAGCAGGAACAAGGATGACACCAGTTCTGATTTTGGTCCCTGGAGCTATGCAAAATCAGTCAGACTTGAGTTCTCCAATGCATCATCCTGAGTCCCAAGCCCATGCTAAACTTAGCTGTAGGTATTTCCAAGTGACCAGTACATGTGTTAAGAATAGATTTAGTGAAAGTTCTTGACCGTATCTCAACCTTCAACCTAGGTTTCTAAATCAGAATCCCTAGACGACTGATGCTGTGAAACACCAAGGCTCTAAAAACCTTAACCTATTCATAATTACTTCCAGGTGACCGATACCTTCATCACGGGAACTCTCATCCAGTGTTAGGTCATCCACTTCCAAGGTTCTGAAACCCTGAGTGCTGGTCTCCTCCTGTTTACAGTTGTGATCTGAGGACTAGTATCCACACCGCAGTGAAGTATGAGCTGTGAACTTAGGCCCGATACCAGTCTGCTTCCTCAGTCCCTGAGCTGTACAGAATACATCAGAAATTATCCTTGAAGACCATAGTTCAGACCCTGATTCTACCCCTAACCATAAATATGGCCATCACCTGTGTGAAAACTAAACATTAACTAGTGATCCAAGATGATGCAAGCCCTCTTTTTGAGGCCCTCAAGTACCTGGTTCTCCAGTCTCACTGTTCCGAAACTCTAAACCTTATCAGAACTGTTTTCTATTTTATTTAAAATAAAATAACCATTGCACATCCTAAATATGTCATTATTCTTCTATAATAGCAATCCTCAAATTACATCACTGAGCTGTGCAGAACTTGCCCTGCTCTGTGACACTGGGGCTGCAAAAGCTGAGGCCTACTTTGAATCTCAAACCTTCCTATATAATCCGGAATGCAGCACATGCTTTAAACTAGCCATGGTTGTAGTCTGATATTTTTGCTGTCTAGATGTCTGAGCTACATCTAATTCATTAAAGTCTTGGGCTCTCCTTCCCTGTTATGGTGAAGCACTATCTTTAGTAATAAATGTTGCCAGATAGCCAGTATCTGCCTTAAAACTATGACTAGGCCTTTCTTCAGCCTCAGTCTGTGATTCCACACCTTGCAGTATCAGTCATTCCAAAACCCTGTTCTGAATCCCAGGTCTACTCAGCCATAAATATTGTCATGTATGCAATGTCTGAGTTAGAATTAAGTGTATAAGCATGATGTGGTGTCTCCGAATTGTGCAGTATTTAACAAAGGTTTGGTCTTTTGACTGCCATTGTTTCAAAGTTCATAATCATAAGTGTTGATGTAAATATATTGTCCAATGGCTTAGCCTGCCATGATTCCTAGAAGTTAAGATACAAATCAGGATTTCATGGCAGTAGGACATAAACAATTTGTAATGAAAATATGCTGTTTCAAATAAAACTTGGATTAGACATTCTTCTGAAAAAGTTGAAAGAGGGAAAATAATATTTTCTGTATTTCCATGTGGCACGTGGGCTTTTCTTCTTTTATTCTGTCAGCATTAAACCACTTTATAAGTGAAAAGGTTTGTATTATGTTGCTTAAATAGAATGACATAATTAGCTCTTACAATGCCATAGAATGCCATAACTAGTTCTAGCCCTGACTTTTCTTACCAGCCTTCTCATCATGGACAGATGAACTCCACAAACTTGCACTTCACAGATATAATAATTTTTCAAAAATTATTTTCTTTCTGTAGATGAAGGACACTCTTTCAGTGATGTTCTCTATTATGGCAATGAGGCAACACTGCTCATCTTTGATATCCTGTTTTTCTCCATTGTGGATCTGGCTTCCCAAAGTTTTGTTTTAGCAGCTATTCTAACATATTTGCAGCAAGAGGTACACTTAAATTTAAGAATAAAGTAATACTTTTTAAATGTGGGTTAGTATGGAAGTTTATATAGTTAACTAGATAATTAAGGCACTAAGTTAGCAGTATGTAGTGACAAAAAATTACACTGAGAGTTTATAAAATAGTTATTAGTTTGGGGTTTTTTTGTCAAATAGTCTTGTGAGAAATTAGTTTTATTCACATGCCTGTCATGAATAAAGATGCTACAAATAATTTTCAATAGAAAACACAAATATCTGTTAAAATTCATTACACATAATTATATCATAGTTCAGTGTGGAAAGATACTGGAAAATGTTTCCAAAATGCTAAAGGGAGCTAAGCACCTAGTTCACTCATGTTATTTGCAATTTAAAGTTAATATGAAGTTATTATTTTATGTTAGGTACTGAAACATACTGTTTTAAGTATTTCTGTGTTAATATATTTTTTCTAAAATGTTCTTAGATATTTAGGTTTATTCGTAATACACTTGGGCAGAAGAATTTGGCATCCAAAACCTTGGTGGATGAAAGATTTCTTATTTAATCAAGAAGATGAAAAACCTTGTTGAGGAGTTAATCGTGGAAATTATGTCCAAGATCAAAGCATCTCTGACCTGCAGATTAATTGTAGTGCACTTTTCAATAATAATAATGTAATGGTTTTGAAATGTATCATTTTTTATATTGTGTGCTATTAATCTTTATTTTTGTGTATTTACAAATATTTTTTTAATTTGTGAACACTAAGCCATAGGCCTCTAAAAGGAAAGGTATGTGAAAATAGCACAGAAGTAAGCTTACTGTTGTTACTCTTAGAATAAGATAAAAATTATTTAGTGGCTTTTGGTAAGATATGGACTGCTCAGTTTGAGGCAATAATATGAGCGTTCTGGTTGGCAGGAGAGGTTGTCAACTCTTCAGTTTCTGAAAATCCCTTAAATCTTCTTTTTTTTAAATTATTTTTTTATTTTGAAGTTTAAAGTTTAGCAAACTTATTTCCAGTTTTACACAGCACATGATTTGTTCTGAATTAAGTTAATATTTCAAGAGATCATTTAAAGATCACTTATTTACAGTGAGTCCAACTTGAAATTATAACTTTTCTTTGTTGTGTCATAGTATTGTATGCTTTTGTCTCTTCTCTCGGAGTTCATAATTGTTTTTCTTGAGTGTGGACTACACGTGACAAAGTTCCCTTGTGTTTGACATACAGTAGTGCTACGGCAATGCAGAAGAACATGTTAGTTATGATAGAGCAGAGGAGGTGGTTATAGGCACTTGGGTTTTTTTCCTGATCTTCTGTCATCTGAGGCAAGATGCCCAGGGAAATACAGTAATTCTTCTGTGCTGTTTCCACACAACTGAAATAGAAGCAATTGTTCTTATCTTTTCAGAAGTGTTTTCACAGGTGCCTCTATGTGCTTAAGTACCTCTGTCTCTCTTAATTTTCTGGCTGTATTATCTTTACATATAACACAGACAGTAATCATTTTACGTCATGTTTTCCTTACTTTTGTCTGCTTAAGTCCACAATTCTTAGTTTGTTGGTGCATGCTATGCCTCAAAAAAGGTGTGAATACAAAACTTGCAAAGGAATGAAATGTCCACTATAAATAAAAATAAGGTTTTTGCCTTTATAGTGAATGTAGTAAATAAAGTGTCCATTAGGTTCTAGATCTGTTAAAACAGCCAAAAACATATTTTCATTGAGTACCATGACTGTATGACTTCATTATTTGTGAGGTTTCTGTCATATTTTTTTTCAGTGATCTACTAAGTGCCAAAACTGTAAACTAAGCTAAGGAGCCGTCTGAAAAATGGTCTGCAGTAGGGCATTTGCAAGGCAAAGTTAGGCTCACATGACATCTGTGTATTCCATTGGTCGATATCTTTGCATAATTTAACTAAACTAAACTTTCGAGATCTTACAAGTCCTACTGAAATGTCAGTGTACAAGAGGAAATACAATCTTTCTCATGTGACCATATTTACTCAAGGTGACTGATGTGACTGAAGGGGTGTAGAAAGTTGCTGTGATCCATAGGTGAGCAAGTATGACCCTAATGAATTACCCTAATACAGGTCTTTTCTTACAGTCACTTTCCAGCAATAGTACTGTGCGTCACTGTCAGTGGTAACAGGCACAAGCTTTTTCTCTGTGTGAATTCTGATGATGTGTTCATAGTCATGAAGTTATTCTAGGGAACAGAACCACACTTCAAACATCCCTCCTCCAGAGTGGTCTGATTTATGACCAATTTAAGTCAGAATAAGTAAAACGTAGTAACCAGACCTGAGTAAACCATGTGTTGTTTTTAGTTAGGCTGGTACCAGCAGAAGTGGAGACATTTCAGCATGTGGGCTCTCGCTGTACCCTGTTCTCCATACTTTTGCTAACCAGGCACACCTTTGCATGCAAAATTCGTGCTTTGAGTTTGTTTTAGATACGCCTTTAATAATCTGCTGCTCAGAAGGGCATGTGAAAGCTTTTATGACCTTGCAAGAACTACTGTTAAAGGCAATTCTTGTTACAGATAAATGTTGAATTAATCTAAAAATGTTCTGCCAGAACAGTTCAGTCGCTTGGCCCCCTCTTTCTCCTTGGTACACACACTACCCTGTTGTGTTTTATTTTTCCACGTCATTTATCTAAAATGTTAGTATAGCTAACACAGGTACTCTACGTGATTTGGGAAATAATTACAGAAGCCAAAAGCTCCATGAATTCATCGAAGCTTTTCTTCATTCTTGCTGTCCAGTGAACATCTGAAACAAGTTGTCTGTGCTTTGTTTTCCTATTGCTTGATATTTGTTCAAGAACTAGCTCTTGGGATTGCATTTCCAATTTAATGTTTTTCCTTTTTTAAAATTAATGTGCAGCTACAATGTATTGCTCATCTGATGAGTGTCTTTCAAGTTTCTAAATGTTTTATTTCATCATACGGCATTTCAAACTCTCATTTATGTCCCTTTGAGCAATAAAAAAATTTTCAAGGATTGGAGAAGTTTTTTTGCACTTGCTAAATCAGTTGGCCCCAGCCTACAACGTGCTTTTCCTTCCGTGAACATGAGAGGTTTCAGAGTAGAGCTGCTGCTGGCTCTGCAGCAGAGCAGATCTGTCAGGACAAGCATAAAAAAGGGATTTTGCAGTCAGTGGTTTTGGATAACTGCAATGATTGGAATGAGATGGTTGGGTTTTGCTGAGTGTCTTAGGGGTTAGATAACAAAATAGTTCATTCCACAAGTAATTATAACTCGCATATGCAGATAAGGTACAGCGATTTCAAGAATATGTTTAACATTCACAGGTTTCATTTACTGGTGAGGACTTGATTGATTTGCATTTTACTACAGCATTCATTTTTGTGGTAGGAACAGGTGTGTGATTGAGGTAAATCGAAGCGCAACTGGCACGACCTTCAAAATTTCACCCTGCCCATCAGATTCCTGCAGCATGGCAGAGCGGTGATGCCATCCAAGCCAAGCTCATGGGGGTTTCTGTTTGTTTGCAGTCTGAAAGGGAGCGTAGGAGCAGTAGGTGACATGGGGAGGGTGACACTGTGCTATGTGCCTATGAAAATCATGTAAACTGGGATGGTGGAAGGAAGTAGCTCAAACCTCTCTAAACCAGTCTCCCTCAACACCACTTGCTTTCTCCTACGTCTACCACGTGTGTCTAAAAGGAAGAAGGAATGAAACCAAGATGCCTCTGAACAATCCCCTCTTTGAGCACTGTCTTCCTCCAGCTTCGCCTCCTTTATGGTCTACACACCACCTCCGCCCCAGCACTCCCAGCTCCCTCCTGTGACTCCTACCACGCCACAGCAGAGAGGTGAGAACTGCCACGGGTGGCTTGGAAAAGCCGCCGTCCCCGCTGGCCGCCAAAGGGAGCGGGACTGCGGGTGCCACCCCGCAGGCACGGCGGCCGAGCTGCCGCCAGCCCCCACGGGCGGCTCTGCTGCTGCGGTGCCCACGGGGAGCACCTGGATCCACAGACTGGGCTGGGGACCGCAGCGCCTGAGGGATGTTCCCCAGGAAACCCCACGGGAGATGCGTTTGCCTCTCTGTAAGATGAACGTTTTCCCTCTCCTCCTGGTGGAGCTTCAGTAAGCCTTGGTGGTCCAGAGCCCTGACCATCTATATCCCTCTCTGATCCAAACTGCTTTACCAACCTACTGGTGCTACTGGAGATGTGTCACCATAGTTTTCCTGGGTGACCTCCATCACAGCAGGAGCAGCTGCAAGCCTGGCAGCTGAGGAGAGGTGAAGCAGCCCTTGGGATTAATTAGGAAATATTCGTTGTTCAAAGTTCACCTGTGGAATAGCTCTGCAGCTTGGTGGCTCTGCAGAGATCAGCAGGCAGCTCTGCATTAACTAACATTGAGAATTTCCCTTTGAATGTTCAGAGTTGTTCTTTTTTTAATCTGTGAAAGCTGAGCCCACACCAGCCAATCTCCTCACAACCTGTGGTGTTCATGGTATCAAAAGCAGAGGCTATATCTAAGCAGAGAGAAGGAAATGTACTTGTCACAGCACTAAAGCATTTATGCCTAGAAAACTTGAAACAATTAAGAGACAGATATAGATAGTTTCATTCTGTGGTTGGGTTTGGTTTTGGTTTTTTTTTTTTTTGCATATGTGCCTGATATTATGGCAGTTACAGAATTTCCATTTTACAGGTCTGCATCAGCATGGCAGAAAGGCTCAAGCAGCATGGAAGAAACTGGAATAAAAAAAAACAACCTGTAACCCCATGGTCTCCACAACCTTTTCACCTTGGTTTACAACTGCAGGAAGGTAATCCCCCATCAAATCAATCACAAAGTACATCTCCAGTTCTGCCTGCAAATGCTGAACAGAGATATTTGCTTTTGGCTTTGCCTGATCCCTGGGACAAGAAGAGTTGGACCAACTGACCTCCTGAGCAAACAGCTCAGTATCTCCTGGGGCCCAGCCTGATCCCCCTTCCCATCTGCGCCCCGTCGGGGGCAGCCGAGCTGGGACGAATGGATTTTGCTCTTTCACGCGCCACGGCTTCCCCTGAATCCCTTCTACACACCGTAGAGCTTCTGGGGCACTGTGGGGGCCAGCACCTCTGTCCGCAGGGTCTTGGAGGACAGATCCAGGCATTGCCTTTGGGGCACAGCCCCAGGCTGCCGCCCCACCTGCACCAGCCTGCTCTCACCTCTTAATTTCCAGGTTCACCTGGGCCTGCAGAGCCAAACCCCCAGAAATCTTGGCAAGGGGATGCAGGAGTTAGGCTGATATCTTTACGTTTAATAACAGCTGTGCTGAAAGCTCAATATTTAGTACATTATCCTGGAAGGTCGGAGCCAACATGATGCTGAGAGAGGGACCTCTCAGCTGTTCATTTCTCCTAAAAGCGTATAGTCAGAAATTAGTTTCTGTTTGTTTCACAGTTTGAGACAGAATGCACTTTTTCCTGGGAAGGGAAAGGCTGCATTTGCCATTTTCAGCATTTTCTTTCACGTGCGTGGATATAAAGATCTGAGCTTCACCGTTGAAAACATTAAAGTTGCTCATCTGTACCTTCTATGCAGCAGTTCTCTACAAACACTGGAAAATATTACTGCATGGCCAGACATTTGATAGGACACGCAGACTGTTTTCTGTTGAGATTGCTGTGCAGAGGTAGATTGTGTCATGGGCACCCAAGCTCAGCGCAGAACTTCCTGAGACTCCAGGTTCCCTCCACAGCATCCTAAACCCACAGGCACAGGGCGACATCCCTCTCCATAGGGATAGAGACAAAGCCTGAAAAATTCCTCTGTGTAAACATGATTGCAGTTCTCAAAAAAAAAAAAAAAAAATATGAGTGCCTGGCTTGCACAGGCAGCTGCAGCTTTCATTCCTGAGTAAGGCCAATCTTGTTGCATGTTATTTCTCTCAGATGGCATCCTGTCTTTGCATTTGCAGAAAGCCCAGCAATATGCTGTTTTGAAGGCAAAATACTGAATTCCTTTGAAGGCTGGAGATGCTGTGATGGGTGTCAGGGATTTGTGGGCACAGTGATGGGAAAGAGCTGGATCTGAGACCTGTGGATCATGACAATCTTGCCTGTTGACAGAAAGAGCAAAACCCTACAGCAATGCTGTCTGGTTTGCAGCCGCAGATGTGCAGCTGTGACACCCCTGTTATACAGGTTGGTCTAAGGGAAGGGCAACTGCTGTCCACAGGGAAGTTTTGCTTCCTCACCCCAAACAGTGCAAGCAAACGGCAATTTCCTCAAGCTCTTTCCCTGTTTAGCGCTAGCACTGCTCTCCACTGGCTTATTTCTGACAGTATGAATAAATGCAGAGCAATGCTTTGATGACACATTTCTTGGAAATAATAATATTAATGGCCCATACTCACTAGATGTCAAGCCAGAAAAGACCATGAAGCAACGGAGCCTCTCTTGATGGTGCCCCCCCAGTGCTCTTGGCTCCTCCAAGCCATCCCTCCCAATTCCTCATCATTTCTCATCAAGGGCAACCACTACCAGGGAAGGGCTGGGACTCTTAAAGCTGCAATTAAGTATCAGACACATTTAAGCATTTAAATGTATCTAGATGGAGGAACAGAAAGGAGTTGGTCCCCTCTGGGGAATGGCCTTTTTTTCATGAGGCTTTTAGCTTTCTCAGCTTCCCCTTTCTCTCCAGCACTGCTTGGTTGTGGCTGCTTTACCCGGGAGAGCTTGAAATGGGTGCAGCAGGTGAAAGAAACAGTTAGAGAATTTGGGAAGCTTAAACCCATCCAGCCATTGTCATGCCACCGGTAGTTATAAAAGCTGTTCTGGAAACAACAGCATATAATTAGAGGAGGTGGATGTTTTCACATTCTGTGCCCGTGTATATGCTGGAGTGCAAAATCCTAGCTGCTTTTCGCACACCTTGTCAGCCCCTCAGCTCAGGGACGGTATCATAGGAGCCTGCAAGAAGAGCGAGCCAGCTCTGTGGGTGCGTGTGCTCAGTAATAAACACCCCCAGAAATCAGCTCACAGCTGGGAATGAGCCCTGGCCCCTAACCCTGTTTGTGCAACAGTGCTGAAATGGATCTAAACGGGCAAGCGGCTCGGAGGGCTGTCGGTAAGGAAGGAGCCGTGGCAGGTTTCGCTGCCCCGCAGGGCCAGGACGATGCTGGTGGCACCGGGTGGGGAGAGGAACAAGCGAAGGGGCCGGGCCTGGGAGGAGGCGCCGGGACAGCAGGGGCCTGGTCTGGCCCACAGGCACCGGAGCAAAGCACAGCGTTGGCTGAGGTCCCACGGCTCTTTTGGCTGTTTGTTTGCATTGCGCAGGGAATAGACGGCAGACTGTTCTCGGGTGCTCCTTCTCTGCAGCCCCTTTGCCACAAGAAGAGCGTGCAGTAAATGTGAGTGCGATCCCTGGCTGGCTGCAATCCGCCCGCCTGACGTGCGCGGAGCTGGGGTGAGAGTGAGTGAGGGACCCAAAGCCAACGCAGCAGGAACACTCACCCTGTGATGACACCTTCTCACACAGTTTTGTATTCAGACCTTACCTAAGAATCATCAGATGGATTTCCTTCTCCCAGCAAATACAGCATTTCTTGAGAAGGGTGTCTACAGTCCTGGATGTTGCCATTTTCAAGCTTTTCCCTGTGCGACAAAGGCTCAGGAGACCCACAGTTACAGAGGTGACTGGGACCTGCAGGTCTGGTTTCTGGAGACTAAACCCACTGATACTCCTGTCTGATCCCTGGGCTCCCTCTTGGGTGTGCGGCCACACGCTTGGCTACCTGTGTGTGCCCAGCCAAGGCAACCTGATGTGCTTCCCCAGGGAACTCCGGAGTCTTTCCAGTCATCCCCAGAGTGAAAGAGGGACCTTTGCTGAATCACCAGCCCTCCCATTTTGTAAGCAATCATAGAATCACAGAATGGTTTGAGTTGGAAGGGACCTTAAAGATTATCTAGTTCCAACCCCCCTGCCACGGGCAGGGACACCTTCCCCCAGCCCAGGTTGCTCAAAGCCCTGTCCAAC